AACAGCCAAGGCTACACACAGAGAAACCCTGTCTCAAAACAAAACAAAACAAACAAAAAAGAGCACTGGGACTGCTGGCACGATTTGTTCCTCGGACGTAGGAAGGTGAAGACTATGCTCAGGTGTGGAGGGCTCCACACCATTCAGTGCAGAACCTCAAAACCTTCTACTCCAATTGCCTGTCTGAAGCCTCAGTTCCCATCATCATCCTGTCTTTGCCCCAGGGAGCTCAGAAGCTTCCACTGTCGCTCACAAAGCTCCTTCCAGAGGCTCCCACCATCCGGGCTGTCCCTCAGACACACACCCTCACGGTCTCACTCACACTTAATGATGGTGCAGTCTTTGGCGGCAGAGAAGATGGCTTGGTCATCAGGTGTGATAACCAGACACGTGATGGAGAGCTGGTGGCCCCGCAAAACTCGAATGTCGGTAGGAGCTGGGGCCTGGATCTGGGTAGAGAGGGAACAGCAGTTGGAGCTATAAAGACACTTCTCACCCAGGACCACTCTTCCCACCCACCCTAGCCAGAAGGAAATACAGCTACAATAAGACCCTTCCTCACCTGACCACACCTGCCTAAGTGTCTACTGTATTCCTCAAAGACTGCAGTAGCCTGAAGCTCTAAGCCAGCTGCGCACCAACCCAGGTGAAAACACTGACTCTCTCACCATACACACAGGTGCCCTGCATACTCACCTCCTTTGCCACCGATTTCTGCAACCTGCCTCTCTGCTCGAGCTGCAGAGAGAGGAGAAAAGAGGAGTGAGGACCTGGGAGAAGGCCCTGCCACGTCCCCCTACACACACGCATTCACACCGTGCCCTCTGTACTCACCACATCTTCCTTCAGGCGCCCCGCCACCTGGTCCTCCTCAAATGCACGGGCTTCAGCCTTCTCCTCCTCTGTGAGGGTCAGACCAGTCCACATAACCCAAGGCTGAGGTCCCCTTCCCTCCTTCCATCCCATGTCTAGCTCTCTACCCCAGGGCTGGGCCTCGAGCGCCTATCTTATAGGAAGCTCCTGATGCCTCAGCAGAGAGAAGGGAAGACATCCCTTCCTGGCTTTGTTAGACTGGGCTTAGCTCGGGGGCTGTAACAGGGACAGGAGGTAGGCTCTGGCAGACCCTGGCTCTCATCAAGAATCCCAGCTCACCTTGCTGCCTGAGCTGTTCAAGGTAGAGTTTGGCCAAGCGTAGCTTCTTCTCCTGCGCAGTCTCCTCCAGCTCTTCCTCCTCCTCCTCTTCTGTTTTCTTCGGAGCCAAGCTGTGGAAAGGAGTGGGCTCTAAGGGGATTGTCCCCCTCCTCTGGACACTAGGACTGTTTCCTCAAAGCCAGCCTTGCCCCTGGCACCCCTCAGGGCCAATGACACACATGCAGAAGACTGAACGATGTGACTTGACCAACTGAAAGGTCCCATTCCGTGTCCAACACAAGGTGAAAACAGCCAATGGCCCCCAACACCAGGAAATGATCACAAATTTTCAACACGAAGGGAAAGAGAGGGTTCCATGAGCTTCTAAGAGAAACCAGATTGTATACAAAAGATCAGAAGTAAAAACCATGGCAGGCCTTAACGCAGTGGCTGAGTAAGCCAAGCATGCTTGAGGCCCTGAGTTCAACAGGTGGCTGGGACAGAGAAGAGGTGCCTAGATAAAACAGTGGCAAATGAAGACATGGCCACAGGTATGGCTCAGTGATAGAGTAAGGTCCTGAGTTCAATCATCGTCCTCCAAAAAGTTGTCAAACCCAGCATAGCGGCACACCTAAATCCTCAAATTTGGAAGGTTGAGACAGGGAGACTGCCACAGACTCAAGGTCATCCTGAGCTGGAATGAGACTATCTCTAAAACTCCCCAGACAGACATTGTCAGGCTAACAAAGTAACAGAGAACTGGTCCTTTCCTGCTACTGAGCTTCCCAAACTGAAGGAGAAAGGCACAAGGTACTAAAGACAGGAAATCCAACACAGAGAACAGAAAAGGCAAATGTCAGGATGACTCCCACTCGAGACACAGAGACAGACATGCTGGGGCTGTCCTAGGCTTGCTGCCTTAGCATCCTCCTTGTACCGCAAGGACGGGGTTCCAAGTGAATCCTACGCTGTATTGACTTCGACATGTACTGGTGAATTTCTTGCTGTCCCTTCTAGGCCCCAGTCCCTGGGCCAGCTGAGCACATTCCCTTCACTCGAAGGCAAGTCCAGCTTTCATCTGTTCCTGGGAGCTTGAGGCAGGTGTTGAGAACTCTCAGACAGAGAACGTAGGGCAGCCTACCCCTCTAATCACAAGCCCACAGACATCCAGTCTGCTGGCTGCTCTGTTCTGCAGCACCTTTGCCCAGGATTTCCACCAAAGGGACCTTAAAAACCTGTCAGGTGGCCCAGGGTGGGCACAGCCCAGCAGTTGGGAGGCAGATGCAGTCAAGGCCAGCCTGGTCTATACACAGGTCTATACACCCTGTCTTGAAAAAAAAGTACCTTTTGAAAGAAAAGCTATTTCAGCCCTAAATTTAATGTGTGCATATATTTATTTTTAAGTTTGCCCGTATTAAAGATCAATAGAAGAAAACTGAGTGATACTTCTATAGTTAATATATTTATTTCATAATACAACTTAAAATACTTAGAAGTGGGCTGGAAAGAGTGCTCATCACATTAGAGTTCTTGCTGTCCTTGTGGAGAACCTGGGTTCAGTCCTGAGCACCTGCATCAGGTGCTCACAACCACTGTTACTGCAGTTCCAGGGAACCCAACGTCCTCAGTCTTCCCTGGGCATCTGCGCAAGGGTAGAGCATGCAAACTCACGCCTGTACACATACATATATATAAATAAAAACAAGAACCTCAAAGTGTTTAGCACAGGTCCTAGAGGCACAAGAAGGTAGATGTCTTTGAGTTTGAGGCCAGCCTGGTCTATGTAACTAGTTTCAGGAAAGCCTTGCCTCAAAAAAGAAAGCTCATTTCTATGAGCAAGTTAAGGCAGCACATATTCGCTTTTAGAAGCAGAAGTGCTAGCCTGGCCTTTAATCCTAGCACTCAGGAGACAAAAGCATGCAGATCTCCGAGTTCAAAGCCAGCCTGGTCTACAAATCAAGTCCAGGACAGCCAAGGCTACATGGATTCCATAACTGAGAGTCTCCACCCCCAGGGGTGATACCCTGTATCAGTCCTCTGAAACCTTGTTGCCATCCCCACCGCCTGCTGAAATGAGGGACTGTTCAAACCTCTCCAATTCTATTTACACCTATCACCTTGCCCTTGTATCTTTTCTACCTTCCCATCTCACATACTTACACCCCAGACTTGTCTCTGATCCCTGAATACCCTCTCTACTCCTCCATGACACTCCTCATCTCTCCAGGCTCTACTTTTAAAAATGCTCCTTCTGTTCCAGAACATATGCCTTCAAGATGCACAACTCCTACCCGCAGTAGTGGCACACGCTTTTATTCCCAGCGATTGGGAGGCAGAGGCAGGTGGATCTCTGTGAGTTCCAGGACAGCTGTGGCTACACAGAGAAATCCTGTCTCTAAAAACCAAAAAGATACACACCTCCCTACAACACCTCTCTCCACTTGCCTGCTCACCTGTGTCCTGAACAATGAAACCAGTTCTCTAATGTTAGAAAGGCTAGATACGTGATGATACACTCTATAGTTTTAACTATTTAGAAACTTTAAACTGTACGATCATTTGAACCCAGAAGGTTAAGGTCATCTTGGGCAATACAGCAGAGACCTCACCTCAAAAAGGAGACCAAGGGGACCAGTAATTGTGATACTGTGTGGAAATAGAATGAAATTTTCTGAACCCTTCTCCCCTTGCCTCTTAATCAATCCAGCCCTGTGCCTGCCTCCTTGTCATGGGGCGGGAGGGTCTAAAGCTTTCCCACAAGGGTCCAGGGTCCTCCCCATAGACACATCAGAAATACAAGACATCCCACTGCCGGACCAATGACCTCAAGCCAAAGGCAGTCCCGAATTCTCCACCCAGGTCTGACAACAGTCTCACTGAGTAGTCTGGTCACCATGAGCCTCCGTTTACCCTTTCACTCGAATGAAAACAGCTCACCTCTCGCTCTCAGAATCGCTGGAAATCTCTTCATTCATTTTGCCGCCACCCTTGGACTTGCCTCTGTCCCCAGCAGAGTCGACCTGGAAATGATATGATCCTTTCTTGGTCAGGAGCCCCAGGACTGAGAAAGGCAGGATTCGGCGGGTGAAGAGATCGGTGCTGCCTCGGGATGGGGCTCTGGGAGAAGCTCTGCGCCCCGATGGGGGCCCTGGGATGGAATGATGGCTGTCCCAGGAGCGAGACCGGTCGCGCCCAAGGAAATGCCATGCTCACCTTTAGCCGCCTCTTGCCGGCCCCAGCAGCAGCCCCGGACCCAGGGGCTGGCTTTGCCCGCTTACGAGTCGCCCCAGCGGCCGACATGCTGCTCATCCAGGTACCGCTGCGGCTGCGGAAGAACTCACATGGCTCCCAAACCCCAGCCGCATGGCAAGACCCGGAGCTCTGATAGGTTCCCACGGCGCGGCGCGCCCCGCCTTCCACGGCGCCATTGGGCCCCTTAGAAGATCCTGCCACGCCTCCAATCGCCTATTGGAGCTATGCAGTTGACCACGCCTCTAAGGGCTCCTATAAGCTCCAGCGCAAAGCGGGAGTAAGAAGCAACTCTCCTGTTTCCGGCTTAGGCCAGTGGCGCTTGCGCACTGCAGCCACTTGACTTCCAGGAAGGGGCGGGGCCAAGAGGGCATTCCTTGTGCTTGTGTGGCCACTAGGGAGAGCCAGAGGGGTGGAGTTCTTGGTTCAGAGTGATTCTTTTTTCCCCCCCGTCTGCCACGGGACAAGGCAAACCTAACCAAGCTCTAAAACACATGGAATGGAATCCAGGCAGCTCTGGAGAGAAGGAAGCAGTTTCCAAAGTCACCTTACAAATAACGGATACGTACTACGTGCGCCTAGTCAAAGCTGCATGAAGAGCATGTCAGTCCCTGCGGCTTTAAGTGTGTCTAGATTGGTGTCCTCTCATCTGTGGGTTGGGTCACCAGCCTCTGACTCACCCACTACTGGCCAAATGACAGGAATTCTACACCACCCCCAAACTCTTTCCACTCTTGTGGTGGTTGCTGGGAAAGCCCTACCAAAGACAAGCGGAAGGTTCACGAAAGGAGAACCTAGATAGGAGCCCAGACTTGAAACTTGTTTCTTAGGAGGCGCACTCAGCATTCCTGACACCAGGCTGGGGGACAGCCACCTCTTCCCAGGGTCCTGTTTCTTTTGGGTGAGTTTCCTGTGGCCCTGCCCTGCAGTCTTCGGCGGGGTAGGGGAGGGTGGGTTAAAGTAGCTTTTGATCTCTAGCAGCTGAAGGCCACTTATCAGAAACCTTGGCTGGCACCCCAGAACTCTGGACCGTTAGCAAGAGGTTTCTACGCCACTCAGTCCTAAGCTCTAGAGAGGTAGATCAGGCTGCAGAAGGGCTGGTTGTAGAGCCTTGCCCTCCTTCCCCTCTATCTCAGATGATTCAGCCCAGCAGCCTTGCTAGCGCCACAGTGACTGACAGCAGGAGGAAATAGTCTAGAAAGGGAGGTGCCCAGAAGTAGGAGGGGTGAGGCTTCTTTCACTTTTCCTACCACCTCAGAGCACACTGGACGGCACAGCTGGAGAGGGTAAGGAGCCAACTTCTTCCTAGCCCCGGGGTGGCTAGATTGGACAGGTTCTAACCTGGGGAGGTACAAAGTACGGTTTTGGAAATGGGGATTTGTGTAGCAAGAAGTAGGAGGAGGCCAGCTCCCTAAAAGGCAAACCTGGACACTCTACCCCTTACCCCAAGACAGCCATGGCTCCAAAACGAAAGTCTTCAGTGCAGACTGAGGCATCCAAGAAGAGGTTGAAACAGGAGACAGGAGAGGAGGACAGCTTCCGGTCCACTGCCCAGGCTCTCAGAGCAGCTCCTGCAGATAAGCGCATCATCCAGGTGGATCCCAAATGTCCACTCAGCCGTAACCCTGGAATCCAGGTGAGCTGCACCCATGTTCAGACCACAACCTTCTCCTCCTTGGGTTCTCTGTTCTAGCCCAGCAGCTCAGTGTCTCTTGAGGAAGCTGGAGGTTGTTTAGTGTCTCCTCAAGACCACAAAAGTGGCTGAATTCCATCAGGTCCAAGTTCATGTCACGTCTGGCCATCAGACACTAGGGTGTCGTTGCCTTTCCCATGACACTCCAGGAAGGAATCTGTCTCAGTTTCACTTTCCCAAGTTTGGGTGTTCTCTCAACTCAGCCCATGGGGCAGAGCCAGGTCATTTATTTATTTATTTATTTATTTATTTATTTATTTATTTATTTATTTCCTCAAACCTGGAAGTGGCTGTATCTTCTCCAGATTCCCCGGCCCACAGCAGGGCTTCATCACATCCAGTCAGACTTCATCCTCAAGGGCAGGGTCATCAAGTACCAAAACGGGAGTGGGGGGGCTCCCTCTGATGTCTCCCAGTGTGCACACCCAGCCCATGCCCAGTCAAGCTGCCTTCTGGGCTCACACCCACACAGGTCCACGAGGAATATAACTGTACCCTGAACCAGACCAACATTGGCAACAACAATAATAAGTTCTACATCATCCAGCTGCTGGAGGAGGGAGGCCGCTTCTTCTGCTGGAATCGCTGGGGCCGGGTGGTAAGTGACCCGCCAACATTATGCCACCCTGGACTCTTCCCCACCTTCCCTGCCTCTGTGCACACTTCAAGGGTGCCCAAAGGGCCATGGCTGCTGACTGTCCCACTTCACCTTCAGCTGCTCCGAGGCGAGGCAACCAGCCCAGCCCAGAGACCAGCAAACATTTTTGATGGGCACACCCCTGAAAGTTATCACTTGCAGGGAGAGGTGGGCCAGAGCAAGATGAATGACTTCGCCGGCCTGGAAGATGCAAAGAAGGACTTTATGAAGAAATTCTGGGAGAAGACTAAGAACAAATGGGAGGAGCGAGACCACTTTGTGGCCCATCCCAACAAGTACACACTTATAGAGACGCAGGGAGAAGGCGAGACCCAAGAGGCTGTAGTGATGGTGAGGAGGGAGGGGCAGTAGGAAGCAGATGGAAGGGACTGACTTCCTGACAGCATTCCCTTAAGTACCAGCCTCCCTCTCTGGCCTCAGCCTGGGCCATTTCTAAGGTCCTTCGCTGCTTCTTTGTGGGTCTCTTGCCTAAATGCTCCTGCCCACCCAGGCCTTCTCTTACCAGGTGGACGGAGGTCCTGTGAGGACTGTGGTTAAGCCCTGCTCCCTAGACCCCACCACTCAGAAGCTTATCACCAACATCTTCAGCGAAGAGATGTTCAAGGACGCGATGAGGCTCATGGACCTGGGTGAGGAGGAGCTCTGAGCAGGGTGGCAGGGCCCTGATATCAGAGGCTACCAGGGCTGAGTCCATCGCTTCATCCTTCAGATGTGAAGAAGATGCCCCTGGGAAAGTTGAGCAAGCAGCAGATTGCACGGGGCTTTGAGGCCCTGGAAGCTCTAGAGGAGGCCATAACACACCCCACAGGTGGTAGCCAGAGCCTAGAGGAACTGTCCTCCCACTTCTACACCGTCATCCCACACAACTTCGGCCGCAGACGTCCTCTGCCCATCAATTCCCCTGAGATTCTTCAGGCCAAGAAGGACATGCTGCTGGTGAGGTCTGGAGGGCCCTGAGGAGACCAGACAGACTGGGCAAAGATGAGAGGAGCAGATGGTCATGGGGCCCATAGGGACAGGCTGCAGTGGACAGGCTGAGAGCCAGGGGAGGGAAAGCCAGATAGAGAGATGGAGTGGGGACAGAGAGGTGGGGTGTCTGTCAAATGGGAGAAGCGGGGGGGGGGGGAGTCCATGGGGAAGACAAGCTCAGGGCCTGTTATCTTAGGTGCTAGCAGACATCGAGCTGGCCCAGACCTTGCAGGCAGCCCCTGAGGAGGATGAGAAAGCAGAAGAGGAGCCACACCAATTGGACCGCTACTATCAGCTCCTCAGGTGTCAGCTTCATCTGCTGGACTCTGGGGCCCCCGAGTACAAGGTGAGCTCTGCCCACCTGCCCTTGAGATAACCACGGAGCCCTGACTCCCAGCATTCTCTCCTGTGTGCCTAAGGAGAGCGCTGGAGTGGGAGGACCACAGGGCACTAATCTACAAGTCCTCCATTCTTGGCCATCAGGCTCTGTTATCCACAGGCAATACAGACCTATCTGGAACAGACCAGCAACAGCTACAGATGCCCAGCTCTGCAGCATGTTTGGAAAGTAAACAGAGAAGGGGAGGTGAGGAAGATTCAGCCCTTATATCACCACCCAGAGTGACCCATAGGGAGATTACATTTACTTCTCTGCTTCTTGCTAAACTGGCTTCCAACTCTGACCAGTTTCCACCAGGTGCACTGTGTGCCAGTGAACTGTGGGGCCATATGCTTTGGTCACACTACCCAAGAGGAGGGAGGGACACTTGAACCCTCACATGGCATGTTGCTACCATTTCTACCTTTCACCCACTCAGAGAGACAGGTTCCTGGCCCATGCCGAACTGTGCAATCGGAAGCTGCTGTGGCATGGCACCAATGTGGCTGTGGTGGCGGCCATCCTCACCAGTGGGCTTCGAATCATGCCACACTCAGGTGGTCGTGTTGGCAAGGGTATCTATTTTGCCTCGGAGAACAGCAAGTCAGCTAGTTATGGTAAGGTGCCCCGGGGTCAAGACCTGGGTCAGGGTGAGCCACCAAGATGGACTGGGCTGAGACCTAGGGGATGAATCCTGAAAGCAGTACTGACCAGAGCACTCAGTGAGGTGTCCCAGGGCTCAGGGGCTCCGAAGAAGCACCTGGCAGTTGAGGATGTGCCATCCTGGAAGAGGGGAGACAGATGGGACTAGAGCAGCAAACCGACTCTGAGGAGTAAAAGAGAAATCTTGACAGGGAGGGGCGAAGGCCTCGCTAGCCTGTACTGTGTGGAAGTTCCCAGCAGTGTCAGGTGAAGAGAGGCAGGGAGATGGGACCATCAAGGGAACTTTCTCCAACAAGCCACGGAGAGCCCAGGTGGCTGTACCGACCAATGAATCTCAGTGGCTGGAGCAGGGGAGAGATTGGCAGAGGAGTGGGGGCTGGGATCTGTGTGCCAGTGTGTGTGTGTATCTGTCTGTCTGTCTGTCGTCTGTCTGTCTCGATGGCTCTGCCTCTCTCTCCCTCTCTCTATGGCACTGGCTCTGGCCCCAAGGCTACAGAAGTGAGAGGACAGAACCCATGAGCTTGGTGTATAAGGTAGCACGGTAGCATGTGGAAAAGGGTCAAAGGGGTCTCCAGTGACTTCCAAGTTCATGGTTAGAGTGTCCTCACTTTAGTGACCTTATCAGCCCTGGCTGACCAAAACACTAGACAGCGCCATCACTTACCAGTCCAAAAAGACAAGGGAGGGTCTAACAAAAAAGAAATGGAGCTGAAGTTCTTGGTGAACCAAGAGGCCTGCCTAGAGGACAGAGTATTCCAAGAAAGACTGGCTGTGGGGCCTCAATCCAAAGAGTCCAAGGTAGGACCTGAGGGATGCCAGTGACAGAGTGAAGAGAGTAGGCCAAGGAGAGTGGCTCCTTCCCAGCTCCCAGGCCTGTATGCCATTGCTGACTCCTTAGCTGAGAGCCTGTGTGCGGGGTTGAGGGTGGGGTTAAGGGGTAGGGGGAGTGACAAGTGACAGGGTGGCAGCTGTCATGGGAGGGAGCAGGCCAGGATGAGACATGCTGGAAGATGACAAGTGCTTCCTTGGACTGCAGGGGAGATGGGGTTGGGAGCCTGAGCTGCTCCCTCCTGCCACTGAGCCTCTGCTTCCTCTAGTTACTCCCATGTCCTGTGAGGGCAACCAGGTGGGCTACATGTTCCTGAGCGAGGTGGCCCTCGGCAAAGAGCACCGCATCACCACGGATGATCCCAGCTTGAAGAGTCCACCCCCTGGCTTTGACAGTGTCATCGCCCAGGGCCAGACAGAGCCTGGTGAGCCCCAGATACTGGGCAGTTCTACAGCTAAAAGTGGGGTTGACACAAGGGACTGGGGGCATTTTCAGAAAGAAGACAGCAGAGGGAGGAGAATGGACAGAGAGTCAAAAACACGCAGGCTTTCTCAAGGAACCGATTTTCTGTGTGAACCAACAAACACCCACAGGTTCAGCAGCTCTCTCCGGGGTGGCTAAGAGGGCTGTAAAGAGACAAGTCATCAGCTGAGCGCTGGCCTAGGGCTTTCCCAGAGGAAGATGGGGGATAAAGTGGCATTCATCCCCTGTAGCAGGAGCCAGTCCCAGGGAACGAGACGTGGATAGCCTCAGGCATCAGCAATCCTTTGGTCCTCCATCCCTTGCAGATCCCAGCCAGAATGTTGAACTAGAGCTGGATGGGCAGAAGGTGGTGGTGCCTCAAGGCCGGCCTGTGCCGTGCCCATCATTCAAAAGCTCCAGCTTCAGCCAGAGCGAGTACCTCATCTACAAGGAGAGTCAGTGTCGCCTGCGCTACCTGGTGGAGATCCACCTCTGAGCTGCTGGCCCTTCCCAGGTCCTGCCAGGCGGGGCCACAGTCTTCACCTCTCCTCTCTGGCTCTCATATCACTCACTCCATTTGCCTTCCAAGAATATAATGCATGCCAGGCACAGTGACGCTCACCTACTCAGGAGGAAGAGGCAAGAAAACACTTTACCATTGGATTTTGAGGCAAGCTGGGCTACAGAGGAAGATATGCCTTAAAGAAAAAAAAAATTAAGCCATGAGGAAAATCCAAATAAAGTGTTGAAGCAAGCAATGATGAGTCGTGCCTGTAATCCCTGTACATGGGAGGCTGAGGCAGGAGAATCACTCTGAGTTCCAGGTCAGCCTGGAATAAATAGTGAATTCCAGGCTATCCTGAGCTACAGGGTGTGACCCTGCCTCAAAAACATAAAAGCCAACGCTCTAGTCAGTGATGGACTAGCAGCATGTACTACGATTATTTCACCTAACGGCACCCGTTGTCACCTCAGTCTGTGTAAACACACTCTACATACAATGACAAAAATCACTTAGGGACAAGTTCCTAAGGATGTGTCACCGTAAGAATGGCTATCCAGTGTCGTGTGTGTGGTCGCTGTGCTGTGCAGTAGTCTTGAACTCATTCCTCTTGTCTGACAGAATTTGGTACGCACCTCTTCCTAAGCCCCTTTGCTCTTTATGTCCTGAGTCCAGCTCTTTCTAGGCCCCACATGTAGGTGACTTCCTGTGGGGTTTGTCTTTCTGTGCCTGGCTAACAACATAAAGTCGTGCAGGTTCTCCCTGTTGTTTCAAACAACAGCATTTCCTCCTTTTTCAAGGCTGAGTAGTATTCCACTGTACGTTCTGCACACTTTCTTCACCCGTTCGCCCATCATGGGACACTTAGAGGGATTTGCATGTTGGCTATTGTGATTGCTGGGTCTATCTTACCTCTTCTTGCCAGCACTCCCTCCCTGTATCTAAAAGAGTACCCTCCAGTTCCAGTTAGCCCAGTCGTGGCTGTAGCCCTAGAATCTTGCCTCCTAAAGCGATATTTAAAAAGGGGTAGGACCCTATCCCTAACCTGAGAGTATGCACTCTGCCTACCGAGTTACATCTCCAGCCCATTTGTGGGTTATGTTTCTATTTCAGTGTTTGTGGTCAAGGACTGAACAAGGCCTCAGGCATGTTAAGGGAGGTGCTCCAACACTGAACTACATCCCACACCCTCAGGAAGGTTTGTTTTTATTGTTGTTGTTTACAGATTGATTGATTTATTATGGTCTGTCTGCATGTAGCCCTGCACGCCAGAAGGGGGCACCAGATCTCAGCATTATAGATGTTTCTGAGTCACCATGAGGATGCTGGGACTTGAACTCATGACCTCTGAAAGAGATCTCAACCTCTGAGCCATCTCTCCAGCCCCTCAGGCAGGTTTGTTAATCAGGAGACCCTAGCCTTAGCGTGTCTTGCTGCAGTGGCCACCGGCGTCCTTTCTCTCCTTGGTGGCCCTGAACATGACAACTCCAGCTGCCACCACCAAGTGTGTGCTCACATAAGCTGATGACGGCCACACGCACTGCTGCCCCCACCCCCAAGGTTATCCCTGTAGCACTCTGTCTCCTCTAATGACCGAGTGTCCGAGGAGGAGCCTTGCCATCCACTCAGAAACTGTCATTTGGAAACCCACCCGATGCTGTCTCCTCAGCTTAAACATGGCCAGGACAACCAGGCATCGATGTGTGTCTCCTGTCTGGATATTATAAAAAGCTGAGTGTGTCAGAGGGCCACAGCTCTGCTATCCTCAAAGATTGACAGCTGTCATCTGCATATCTCTGTCCTTGCCTGGGGTGCAGGCGCCAGAAAGCAAGGTCAAGGTCATATGCTGCATCTCTTTGAGAGACGGCTCAGGGTCAGCAAATGCTTCTCCACCATTTTCTCTTTCATAACTTCAAGTTCTTGCTAGATAGCCTAGGCTGCCCTGCATTCTTCATCTTCCCAAGCGCTACGGTCACAAGAGTGTGTCCACTCACCCACCTCATTTTGACATTCGGGAGAGTCCGGGGCAGTTGTTTCTTAGGATGTCCCTTTAAATTTTGTTTCCAGGGCATGGGTGACTAACATGCAAATATATGTCTGTGACCAGAAGAGGGCATCAGATCTCCTGGTACTGGAGCTGCAGATGGCTGTGAGGGGCCTAGTATGGAGCTTGGCACCCTGAGTTCCACTCCCAGAACCCACATAATGGTGAATGGCCTCCACACTGGGCCACCGCAGCCCAACATGTCCTGCAATGATGGAAGATCCTCCCTGTCCCTTCCCTCGTTCCCACTCATCTGATGGAGTTTGCTCACAGTAGTCAGTTTTGATCTTTGTCCTCCTTGCATTCCTCTGCAGACTTACATAGACATATACCCTCACTACAAAGAATTCTGGTTTTGGTTTTGGTGGGGTTTGTTGTTGTTGTTTTGGTGTTTTGAGACTGGATATCTCTGTGTAACTCTGGCTGTCCTGGTACTAGCTTTGTAGACCAGGCTGGCCTTGAACCCACAAACATCCTCCAGCCTCTGCCTCCCATTGCTGGGATTAAGGCTGTGCCCCCCCCCCATGCCTGACTACTATTCTTTTTAATTAAATGTACTGATTTAGGAGGTTGCGTGCACCCACCAACTCCCCGCAGTTCCCACCCCTTCGTTGTCCTGTCTAGACTCCGTTTTCATTGGCTGTTCCCATGGACCCTGCTGAGCTTCCCCTGGGCTGTGGAGGCCCAAGAGGTTGCCTCACACTTGCAGGCTTGGAACAGTAGAGAGGAGTGAGGAGCCACTTTCCCACCCTCCCAATGAAAACCTCAGAGATCCAGCTTCACCCCCTAGAGGCAAACACCACATCCAGGTATGCAGAGGGATGTCAGCGTGGCCCGAGCTCTAGAAAGCAGGTGACCAGAATGCCAGCTGCATGCCGTGAGGCACATGCCAACCCCCCCCCCCAACCCCTGGGACGCAAGCTTCTCATCTGAATGATGGAAGTTTCGGGCTGTGACCTATCAAATTCCATCATGGAGTCAGTCGCACCAAGAGCCTGGAGCTTGATCTCTAGAGCTGAAAGTGATGCTGACCTTGCTCTTGTGATGACCTTGGAGGCACTGGCCCAAGCCAGAGGCAGACAAGGACCCTGCCCTTCCAGCCCGGGAAAAGAGGCTCCACATGTCAGCACACGTATGTGAGCAACAGAATGTGGGGAAAGGAGGTGCCTGTAAGAGCACTAAGCACAGTAGGAGTAATGTGAGCCGAAGCTGGGAAGCTTTCAGAATGCATGCTCAAGGCAGGCCTTGCTTGTGAGTAGAAAACTGGAGTAAATGACAGAACAGAAACTGACTACAGTGGCATATGTCTGGAGTTCCAGCACAGGGGATGAGGCGGGAGGCAAACTTACAGCAAGGCGAGAGAGCGGGTCCTGGGCAGGCAGAGGGAGCAGCAATGCAAAAATCCTGGAGAGCGGCTTGCCAGGGGAGAGGCACAGGCAGGAAGTGACTACTAGAAGCATGTTGGAGGAGAAGAGGTGGGAGGTGAGCAAGAGATAGCTGATAGAGACCATCTCACTGCACAGGGGAGTTCCAATTCATGATGGATAGCTTTCAGACAGAAAGAACAGGTTTCATGATGCCACCTGAATTTTTCTTTCTTTCTTTCTTTTTTTTTTTTTTTTTTTTTTTTAAGGATCCACTTTAGCCACTGCTGAGAGTGAACTATAGTGAACAAGTTAGTGAAAGATCTAGCCAGCATGACAGGAAATCACATCAGGTGATGGAAGACCAGGAGAACTGGGTACAGGGCAAGAACAAACTATCAAACAGGAGACAGTGAAGCAATCCAGAGAAGAGCAACAGCAAGGAAACCATTCACAACCTGCCATCCTTAGGCTGGAGGATGATGGGAGGAGACAGTGATGGGACCAGGTTCGTCTTGCAAGAGTAAGAGCACAGAAGAGGCTCCATGAAGGAAGCCATAGCTACAGGGCAAGAGGCTGTCTTCCACAGAGGGCTGCAAAGCCCCAGGCTAAGCAGCAGAGGGGAAACATCCTGGCTTCCTCCTTCCTCCCACTCTCTAGTTTTCTGCTGGTGGCTCTCATTGGCCTGGGCAGGACAGGTCCAGGAGGGTAGAGTGGGGAAGGGACCAAAGGGCAAATCGGGTGAGCAGCTTGAGGTTCAAGAGCAAAGGCCAGGCCCCTTAGGAGGGTGCTGTGACACTGTGTTGGCAGCAGTGCTGGCGGGGATGAGGTAACGGTGGTAAGAAATGGAGGGTTTCGCCATGGGGTCGGGTGATTGTAACTGGAGCCTGGGCCCCACTGGAGTTACAGGGCTTTCCTTGAGCCACCCCTGGTGTGTGTGTGTGTGTGTGTGTGTGTGTGTGTGTGTGTGTGTGTGTG